TGACATATATTTAAAAATAAAGTGAGGTAACAAGTTTATGCACCTAAGTGTATGGATTCACATTTGCCATCATTAATGTTCCTACATCTTTTTCTCACCTTTCTTATCTCTTGGCTGATTTTTTAGCTATAGTATTGCCCTACTCCTGATTACCAGAGGCTGATTTATATTCTTTATATTTTACATTTTTAAACTTCTTCACATTTCTTCCTTTCCACTCCATTTTATTCTCTTCTTTTCTTGATGAGAAAGAATCTCTTTGCAAAATATTTTGGGGTGACCAAGAAGGAAAAGAATAAGCATTTGTGAGCTTGAGTGTGACCTCCTGTAAAACAAACAGTTAAATTATATTTGCTTCTATCTGCAACCATTGGCCCATCTGTATCTCCTCTTAGGTAAAGCTCTGCCTCGGTCTGGGGTGTGGGAACAGCGACTGACAGTAGGAATGCTTTGAACACTTAGTAGATCTATCATCTTTGTTGCTGGGCTAACAGAGACTAGCAGTGGGCAAGTATAAGTACATGTGAAGTGTCTTGAACAAAGTCCTCCATATCCACAGCAATTCTTCATGACTGACTCCACTCAGGTTGTATTATGTCTCTGAGAAGAAAACAAGGTCTTGTTTATTGACTAAGAAGGGCTCCCCCAAGATGTGGTAGGACGTTGCTTATGAAGAAGCACTAGTAGACCCTTCAACTATCATTCCGCATCGTGAGTAAGCCATAGTTGTGTGGATGGGATGTACTGTGCAAAAGGAGCAATACATGGTTGAGGAGTTCCCTGAGTTGACAAATATCCATTTTCTTATTAAGCCTTCTCAGTATCCTCCCTCCCCAACCCCCAGGGTCTTCCTGAAAGTGGCCCTGGGGCTTTTGCCAGTGTTCCTGTCAGGTGACTGGAGGTGGGACAAAGTAGCTCCAAGTTCTCACACTTGTGTATATTTTTAAAGTGACAAGCTTGTGGTTATTTTAAAGTGTTGCTTAATTTTTTAGATTTATTGCTAGAAACGTATTGTTATTACTTTGGTAAATAATTTTTAAATTAAAATTTTATACCGTCTATTATCATTTTTTTGGTAAATAATGTTTTATATTTGTCTATGTTTAGCACTTTCTCACCATTGCTTCTTGTGTTTCAGACCTTCCTTCTGATGTAATCTTCCTCCCTTTTACAACTTTCACATGTAACTTAAATATTGATCTGTATTTAAGTAGGAAGCTCTCTAAGTTTCCTACTTATCAAGATGAATTTATTTTGTTCTCATTCTTTTTTTCCAACATTTTTTTTTAAGAGAGGAAGGGGGAGGGATAGAGAGTTAGAAACATCAGTAGAAGAGAAACATCCATCAGCTACCTCCTGCACACCCCCTACTGGGGATGTGCCTGCAACCTGTATTTAAGTAGGAAGGTACATGCCCATGACTGGAATCTATGCGTTATCCACTGAGCCAAACCAGTTAGGACATTGTTCTCATTCTTTAAAGATTTCCTGGGCACATAATTTGAGATAGATATTTTCTCCCAGCTCTTAGTAGATATTTTTCCTCTCCTGGTTCTCTTTGTTGAGTATGTCTACAGCCAGTCTATTTGTGGTTTCCTGTTAGGTTTTTCCTACTTTCTCTTTGGCTATTTTTATAATCTTCTCTTCATTTCTGCTTTTCTGCAGTGTGCTAAGGTGAATAAAGATAAATCCTGCTATATCACCTGGTAAGGGGTAAAGAATAGGTTTTATTGAGGGACATTCATAAGCCAAGGGCAGCAATCAAGGACCTGAGTGTCCCAGTTCTTCTTCCACCCCAGGGATATCTATGCCACTGTGCACCACACAACCAACCTGCAGTGAAGAGTCACCCCATCACCTGTCTTTTTTATTGAGCAAGTCTGAGAATAACTGCCAGTGGGGCAACCACTGAGATTCCCTAGTTTCCCGGAAATGATAAATCCAACATCAGCTGTTTACAAGGAGTTTTCTGGGAAACCCAGCTTCCCAGCACCTTGAAGGTTTTGGAGCCAATAAAAAGTTGCAGGCTCTTCTGGCCCAAACTAGTTTATTGTCCAGACAACAGAGATTCCTGGAGTCTCTTTTAGGCAATTCAACTGCTGTACCATTTTTCCAGCCTCTGACCTCCAGTCCCCTCATATATCTGACCCTGGAGGAGAAAGAGCAGTTATTTGTCCCTCACACCCACCTCTGCAGTTTTGGGGTTGAATGTGTATAAATTTAACCAATTAGGGTTTGCCATTCCCCATGAGGATAAAGTAGATTCAGAATCCTTTTCTCTGCAGTGTTCTCAGGGATACAGTTGTATTCTGACTCCAAGAGCGACATCTAGGGGTAGAGAAGAGTAGCTGCAGAACTGCCTGAAGCCATCTCCATGTAGTACTTCCAGACCCCAGCGGAGACTGTCTTTTCCTCTGTGGCCAGGGCTCCTGCCAGGGTAGAGTAGCCGGGATTGTTCCCTGTCCATAAATGCACGCTTTTCTCTAGAGAAGATATTCGTTGCCTTCTGTCCACAATAAGGTGGCGTTATTGGCTTGTGACCACCTTTTTTCAGTCTCTCCTGTTTAATCTAGCAATTTGCTTCAATTAGTTCAGCTAATTGAAGCAAATTGCTAGAAGGAAATTTGGTAAATATATCAAAAGTCTTCAAAATCTATAGACATTTTAACCTAATAATTCTGATTCTAGGATTTTAACCTAAGGAAATCTTTAAACACATGTCAAGATCTCTATTTAAAGATATTCATAAAAAAAAATACTCATAAGAGCAAAAATTGGGAATGAGTGATTGGTTAAATAAATTATGATGCACCATACAATTGAATTATATGCAGCAGCTACTGAAAAGAATTTTAGGGATAAAAGAGGCAGGTTTAAGGAGTCTGAGGAATAAGAAAGTTACAATACTGCAAAGTATATTGTATAATGACCCTCACTCTTAAAATCTGAGACAAATAAACTTTTTAATCACTTCAATATCCCTGAAATTTTTCCAAACATATTATGAAAACTAATCAATATGAGTACCAATCAGTGGAGTGTATATACATTTTTGTACTAGCAAAAATATCAGAATTAATGCTAATATAACAGGTGGTGTATTAGTTTTCTATTGCTGCTGTAACAAATCACCACACAGTGGCTTAAAAACAACACTTTTTTTTTCTCTCTCTTCTAGTTCTGGAGGTCAGAAGTCTGACATGAGTCTCACTGGGCTAAAATCAAGGGCTGCATTCCTTTCTGGGAGTGCTAAGGGATACTCCATCTCCTTCCTCTTTCCAGCTTCCATAGACTGCCTGCATTCCTTGGCTCATGTCCACCCACTTCCAAGCCAACAATGTCAGGCCAAACCATTCTCACACTGTCACTTTCTGGTTCTCATCTTTCTGCCTTCCTTGTCCACTAATAATGACCTATGTGATTATACTGGGCCAATCTAGGTATTTCACCTCCCCATCTCAAGGTCAGCTGATAACCTTCCTTCCACCTGCAACCTGAATTCCCTTTTGCCATATTATCTAACATATTCACAGATCCTGGAATTAGGTCATGGCTATCTTTGGCTATAACTGTGTTAATCAGACTACTGAGTAAGGATGAGATGCCATTATTTAATAACACAGACAGCAATCATCTTGCAATTAAAACTAAGACTTTTTTTTTAAAGTTTGGTAATTTATTAGTAATCTTCCCTTAATACCATTCCATTAAACAAATAGGGTTAAACACCTGCTCTGTGCCAGAGCTCATGCCAGTCACTGGGGATAAGTAAAGGCATTAATTAATTCAATACATATTTATTGAGTGCCTGCTATGCACTAGGAACTCTTCTAGGTTATTTAAGCTCCTAAAACAGCTTACATTTTAGTGGGGAAGACTGACAATAAACAAGGAAAATATACAGATGATGATAAGCACTGTGAACCAAAATATGGAAAAACAAAAAAAGAAAAACAGGAACGGGGCATAGCAGAGACTCATGGTCAAAGAAGGCCTCTTTCATAAGTTGACATTTGAGGAGAGATCTGAAGTTGAGAAGTGAGCCAGCCATATGCATAAAGTTGTGGAAAAGAATCAGGAGGAGCCTCAGGTGCAGAGTCACACGAAGCTGGAGCATGCCCAGCATTTCCAGGTAAAGCCATGGGGCCAGCGCAGCTGAAGGGGAGTGAGCTTAAGGAAGAGAAGCAGAAGATGAGTTAGGGGTTAGGTAAGGAACGGGTATCTACACTGTCCTATGCATTTGGAGGATCTGGTTGGGAGGGGAATGAGACAGAAGAATCTGAGCCGGGAGTGGCAAGAGAATTACTTTCCTAACATTCCATTATTAACTTGACAAAATAAAATCTTCTTGCAGCCCGGCCAGCATGGCTCAGTGGTTGAGCATCCATCCCTCTGTGAACCAGGAGGTCATGGCTCTATTCCCGGTGAGGTGGCAGGCTCAATCCCCACAGTGTGGGGTGTATGTATCTTCCTCCAGGTGTACAGCTCCCGGGTAATCAAGGTTTCTACATCTGGGCCAAAACCGGTTTGGCCTGAAAGGTCCCAGGTTCAATTCCGGTCAAGGGCATGTACCTTGGTTGCGGGCACATCCCCAGTAGGGGGTGTGCAAGAGGTAGCTGATCCGATGATTCTCTTTCATCGGTGTTTCTAACTCTACCCATCTCTCTTCCTCTCTGTAAAAAAATCAATAAAATATATATATATTTTAAAAAAAGGTTCCTACATTTGGGGTCTCCAGCAGGGAAAATCGAAGCCAGGGTTTCGCGGACCGTTGGGAGCCCACAGAGGCCCCTCAGCTCTTTCAGTCCCATCTCCGTTCACCCATCCCCTTCTCCTCTCAGCCTTGTGGATGGCAAGGGTGGCGGGTGGAAACGCCCACCCCGGAAGCAGCAGCGTCAGCGAAACTCTTCCCCGGCAGAACTCACACACAGCGAAGGGCGGGGCGACGCGACGCGTGCGCGCTGACGTCACGCCGCCGCACACACGCGCCGCCCCGCCCCGCCCACACCGGCCGCCTGTTTCCAGGCGGGAGGGAGACGCCGTTAGCGCTGTGGAGGGTGCCCGGCGGTTCGCTTCCTGAGACCGGCTGGCCGCGGGGCCGCGCTGCCCCCGGCCGCCGCCAGCATGCCCCACTTGGAAAACGTGGTGCTGTGCCGCGAGTCCCAAGTGTCCACGTTGCAGTCCCTGTTCGGAGAGGTAATTGTGCTGTTTTCCCGGTCCCGCGGGCAGACGTTTCCGTGGTTTGGCGATGCGTTTCTTCTTAAGAAAAAAAAAAAAAAATCGTGTGTGGGTGGAGGGTTAATAGACCCTCGGCTGCGTTGAGATAGGGCGTGTTGTACGCCTCCCCCTTTCCTTCACACGGAAGAACTTGTGGGAAGACCCTTTTCCAGGAGAAAACGGCACCGGAAGGACCGGCCGGCGGGACAGGATGTTGGTGCGGGACCAGTGGGTTCCTACGCGACCCACTTTGGGGAACGGGGCTATAACCCGAAGTGGCCAGGAGCAGCAGAACAGGTTTTTTTAATGCCACAGGAGTGTGTGCAGAGAGTGATTTAGTTAAGTGGAACTTGGCACGTTTCTGGGAGGTACTGACTTGGTGTAAGTCAAGTGTGGCTAGACCCTGGAGGGGCCAGGCAGGGCTTCCGGTTTAAAAACTCAGCGGCTTCTCCAGAATGGGAAAAGCCCTGAGGAGGTCTGGGCTGCCCTTGTGGGCTAGCAGTGCGGAGAGAAGGAGAGGTTCAGTGCCTGTCTTCTCTGGAGGGACACAGCTAAGGGAGTCCCTTTTCATAGGCGTGAGGTAGCAGTCATAGATGCAAGACTTAATCTGTGTTTTATTACTTTCACCTTGGGGGGAGGCCTTCTGATTCCTATGCATTATTTTTAATATATATATATATATTTTATTGATTTTTTTACAGAGAGGAAGAGAGAGGGATAGAGAGCTAGGAACATCGATGAGAGAGAATCATCGATCAGCTGCCTCCTGCACACCCCCTACTGGAGATGTGCCCGCAACCAAGGTACATGCCCTTGGCTGGAATCGAACCTGGGACCTTTCAGTCCGCATGCCGACGCTCTATCCACTGAGGCAAACCGGTTTCGGCCTCCTATGCCTAATTTAGACGTATTTCATCAGGCTTGGATTTGATGCCCACATATGCCTTAGACTTGGAATGGATCAGACTTGGATCTTGTCTGTGAGGAGAGGAGCAGTGAGTTCAGAGTCGTGCTCATGACTTGGTCCCCCTCCCATTTTCTGGTTAGCCTTTTTAAGGCCCTAAAGTGTTTTCATCCCACTGGAAATGATGGTGGCGTTCTGAGGCGGCCTGTGCAGTTATTTGTGGAGAAGTACCAGCCTTCTAAAGGGGCACCTTAGTGAGGGAAGTAAGAGGACAAGGACTGCATTCTCAGTAGTTTAGTCATCAGGCTTTCAGTTTTAGTTAGCCGGATTCCTTATCGCTGAGACGTTTTCAGGGGTTATTTTCTGTGCATTCCTTCCCGGAGTTGATAAACTCCAGATCAGTTCAGCCAGAAGCGCTCCCCCTGAAAGAGGAGATTGGCAGAGAGAGATTAGCAGTATAAGAGTGGTGTGGACCGCAGGAAGGATTTTGAGTTTTATTCCTACTGTAAATAGTGTTTAACAATGTTAGTATTACTTTTCTGCAAGGTGCCGTGCATGGGGACATATGGATAACTAGTTCATATTTTTTAAGCAGGTTTATTTATGTGTTCAGGGACTGTGCCAGATCCTGGCTTATTACAGTTTATATTAGGGAGAAAGGTCTGTGAAGGTGAAAGGTTAAGTAACAATGCAAGAGTTCAATTTAATTTTAGGGAACCGTAGGAAAGATGTTATGAGGTGGGATATTATTAAGCACCAAATAATGGATGCAGACAAGTTTGGCAGGATTTCAGAAAATGAGAGTTTTTGTGTGTCTTGAAAAAATTTGCTGAAGGATAAAAGTCTTAAACTTTTCTTTAAAGGTGAAATATAGTATTTGTTTAGCAGAGATTCTCAGCAAGCATGTGTTTAATGGGACAGATTTTTTGAGTCAGTTAATTTACAAGATTGTTAGATACATTATTAAAAAGGGATTAATATATTGAAATATCAATATAGAGCTTATTTTAGGAAAATTTTTCCTGTATAAATCTGATTTCCAATTTGTCTTGCAAAAGGAAATGTATAACTTAGTGGCTAGAATGTAATAAATGTTTTGTTGACTATTGTACTGTTAGATGATGATCATAGAGACTCATGAAAATGGCATCATCCAGATAGGGGGAGGTGGGGAGGGTAGCGGGGGCGGGGGGGGAAAAAATGGCATCATCCAGTTTTCTTGTAATTATTTTTAAAATGTATGTCTTCTCACTAGACTCCTCCAAAGCAGATTTTGGCTTTAACTGATATATGTTTCAGTGCATCATTGTTGTCAGTATTTAAAAGGTTTCTAATAAATGTTCATTATATCACTGAAATATATTTGTAGTATTGTTTTTTCTAGGCAGATGACTCTTAATGTCCTGCAGGAGAATCTTGGAAATATGTATTTTGAAATGTATGTTATGTAGATTTTATCTTTTTTTTAAAAATGAAATTAATTCATGCAGGCGAGATAAATTTAATATGCATAACTTGAAAGTATCCTGTAAGTTTTTCTAAGAGAGGACCCTTGACATTATTCTAACCCTGTAATTACATTTGTCTAGTTTCAAAGCTTTGAAATGTATAATGAAGTTGCTGCTTATATGGGATTATCCTATACTGGAGGCCCAGTGCACAAAATTCGTGCAGGGGGGATGTCCCTGAACCTCTCCAATCTGGGATCCCTCTGGACTGCTGGCTCCCAACCACTTGCCTGCCTACCTGCCTGATAGCTCCTAACTGCTTCTGTCTGCCAGTCTGATTACTCCCTAACCCACTCCCTTGCCAGCCTGATCAATGCCTAACTGCTCCCCTTCCAGCCCAATTGCCTCTCCAACTTCCCTCCCTTGCAGGCCTGGCCTCCCCCCCCCTCCCCCCCACTGCCCTCCCTTGCAGGCCTGGTCACCCCTAACTGCCCTCTACTGCAGGCCTGGATTTCCCCCAATTGCCCTCCCCTACGGCCCTGGTTGCCCCTAAATGCCCTCCTCTGCTGGTTCGGTCACCCCAACTGCCTTCCCCTGCGGGCCTTATCACCCCCAACTCCCTCCCTTGCAGGCCTGGTCCCTCCCAACCTCTCTCCACTGGTGGCTGTCTTGTGGTTGTCATCTTGTGTCCATGTGGGGGAGGCCATCTTTGACCACACGGGGGTGCCCATCTTGTGTTGAAATGATGGTCAATTTGCATATTATCTCAATTACATAGGATAAAGCCCTTGCAACCCTGATCCCAAGTGTGGGCATGTAGGAGGCAGCTAGTGGATGTTTTGCTCTCCTTGATGTGGTCAAAATTATCCTTGAAAAAAATCTCTTAAATATCCTATAAAATCTCCTTTGAAAATATAAGAGTTTGCATTATACATAAATAATATAAAAAGTATGATTATGTATAGTATATAATAAGCCAAATATTTTTCAGAAATTTTAATTTCTTAACAGAGAAAGTGCTTAGACTTGAATGCAAGTAAATTCAAAGTGTGGTGATGACCCCACTTTATTCTCACTGCTAAAATAATTTGAATATTTTACTTTACCACATAAAATTTTATTGTTAGATAATAAATGTTTATTTTCTGTTTTGGATGTATAGTCTGATAATCATCTTTTCTTCCCTAGAGACATCATTTCAGCTTTCCATCCATTTTTATTTATGGACATACTGCCAGTGGAAAGACTTATGTCACACAAACTTTATTAAAAACTTTAGAGGTAAGAGTAAACCCCTACTGTTAATTGTTTTGTGCTCACAGTCTTAAAAATGGAAGGGATCTGGGACATTTTTAGTCCAGTTTAACCTTTCTCTTAAGGAATATCTATATCTATATCTATCTATCTATCTATCTATCTATCTATCTATCTATCTATATATATAAAAGGCTAACTGACCATCTGACTGGCCAGTAGGTATGATGCACACTGACCACCAGGGGGCAGATGCTCAACACAGGAGTTGCTGAGCTGCAGTGACTTGGCAGCAACAGTTCTTGGGTAATGCATCTGGAACCAAAGAAGGGGAGCCCGATTCCAGGGGGTGTCAGAGAGCCAGCTTCAACCCCATCCCTGCAGGCCAGGCTGAGGGACCCCGCCTGCCAGAGTTACCCTGCTCACTTCGCAGATGACCTTTGAGCCGCAGTGCTGCCCCAGGTGCGGCCGGCTAGGGAGGGACCTTGGGAGGTTGGCTCCAGGGCATGTCCAGCCCCTTCTTGCCCAGTCCCACCCTGCCAGCCACCTTCTAATTAATATCCTTTCAATGTGCACAAATCTGTGCACTGAGGCACTCATCATCTACATAAAACATTTTTGATAAACTTTTGTTTTAATACCTTCAAAGACTAAGCTTCAGAAGGGATTATTAGATAACTTGAGCCTTGATATTAGTTATTTTTTATTTCTAACTTTCATTGGCTGATAATATTTGGGGAAAATTATGAAGAAAAATTCTTCAAAAAGTATTAAAACCTTTTTCTTTTCCATTGTTGTTTTTATAATATTGATACTGATAATTCTGAATCTCCACATTTACAAAACCTACTATAGCTCCTTTACCCTGCCTTTTCCCCCATATTGCCTATCAGAGTGAATGGTCTCAATATTAATGTAGTTGTCAAAAAACTTTCTCTTTATTCCTTGCTCATCCTCACTCTTTCAGTAAATCAAACCAGTAAATCTGTTCTATTCATTCTACATTATTAATTTCTTGACTTTATGTGCCTTTAATCATAGCCAAACTAAGTTCCATGAGGTATGAAAGGTTGGTCACCTCTGGTTTAAGGAAACCTTTGGTGACCACTGCTCTAAGGGGATTACTGTGGTTTCTAACTTTAAAAAAACAAAAACAAAAACAAAACAAAACCAAACAAACAAACAAACAAACAAAAATATATATATATATATATATATATATATATATATATATATATGGGCTCATTCAGCATTAAGGATATTATCTAAAATTCTAAATGTGAGGTTTCTACTAAAAATTTTCACATTCAAATGTACTTGGGTTTTCTTATAAGAATTCTGTAGAAGAAAATACAAGTTTGCTTTGAATCTCTGTAGGAAACAAATGGCAAACTTAAATAATTGAGTTTAATAAAGAGACTATTTTACAAAGGTTGAAGAAACGTTAAGGAACCAATAAGGAGTGGGGAAGCAGTGATAGCCTTTACCCCTCCCAGACCTGAACTAGCCAGAGAAAGGAGTTGTTACCAGACCCCAGCAAGACCTGTAGCCTTTGGCCGGGACCGGTTTGGCTCAATGGATACAGCGTCGGCTTGGGGACTGAAGGGTCCCGGGTTCGATTCCTGTCAGGGGCATGTACCTTGGTTGCGGGCATATCCCCGGTAGGGAGTGTGCAAGAGGCAGCTGATCGATGACTCTCTCATCGATGTTTCTAACTCTCTATCTCTCTCCCTTCCTCTCTGTATAAAATCAATAAAATATATTTTAAAAAAAAAGACAAAAAAAAAAAAGACCTGTAGCCTTTGAATAAGAGCTGTCCAACTGGGGCTGTGACGTTAGATAGCAGGTCATAGCCACTGTCAAATTGTGGGCCTCTTGAGGCGTGGGCTGGAAATCAGGGAATATATATTCAACTTCTCTCTCTTATTGCTTCCTTCAGTCTCTCTCTCTTTTTTTTTTTTAATATATTTTATTGATTTTTTACAGAGAGGAAGGGGGAGAGAGAGAGAGCTAGAAACGTCGACGAGAGAGAAACATCGACCAGCTGCCTCTTGCACACCCCCTACTGGGGATGTGCCCACAACCAATGTACATGCCCTTGACCGGAATCGAACCTGGGACCTTTCAGTCCGCAGACCGACGCTCTACCACTGAGCCAAACCGGCTTCGGCTCCTTCAGTCTCTTGCTGGTTCTTCCTATTGGCTGAATCCAGTCAGTGCTGGAAAAGAAGAGGCAGTCTGGGCAATGCAGTGTGTAATGTTCAGACTCCTGGGACACAGAGTAGGTTGGAAGATGATGGGGTATTGTTTCAGAAGGGCAAATGGGAAATATCTAGCAGAGCCATGCTTGTGTATGTGTTTTCTTTTCTATTTACACCTTTTTGTTTGTTTTCAGCTCCCACATGTCTTTGTGAATTGTGTTGAATGTTTTACGCTGAGGCTGCTTTTGGAACAAATTTTAAACAGGTTGAATTATCTTAGTTCTTCAGAGGAGGGATGTTCTACTGAAATAACCTGTGACACATTTAATGACTTTGTTCGCTTGTTTAAACAAGTAACCAACGCTAAAAATCTCAAAGATCAGACTGTATATATTGTAAGTATTTAATTCCATTATATCTACCCTATATAGCTACTATATATGTATACTAGATAAAAAATTTTACCTTTTTTAACATGATCTGTTAGCCAGTTAAACAAAGTTTAGCATGCAGTAAAAGTTCAAGCAATAAAAATTTCACATGATAGCCCGGCTGAGGTGGCTCAGTGATTGAGCATTGACCTATGAATCGGGAAGTTAGGGTTTAATTCCCGGTCAGGGGACATGCCCAGGTTGCAGGCTCAATCCTCAGTGCGGGGCATGCAAGAGGCAGCCAATCAATGATTCTCTATCATCACTGATGTTTCTATTTCTCTCCCACTCCCTTCTTCTCTAAAATAAAAATATATTGGGGGAAAAATAGTTTTACATGATGAAATTGGGTCAGAAAAAGCTGTAGTTTTTGCTTTATGATAGACATCTTTATATCAAATGGAATAAAAAAAATCCACATGATTGTATTTCTTGGAAACCTAAGAAAATGTCCAGAACATCTTGTATCCTTATGTTTTTTATAGTGTACTTGTAAAATAAACCTTTTTAATGTAGGGCAAAATGACTCATTTTCTGTTTAGAAATTTGAGTTAAAATATGTTATAAATAGTCCATTTTTAACTTACTTGACCTATTTAAAAATGTCTTCCACAAATGTAAATAGCAAAAATTAAAATTTTTCCTTTCAACATGGCAAGTTGAATTCTTGAATTGTACATTATCAATCTTTATAATATGCTTATATAATGGTAAATGTTTTGTAAAGGGCTTTGCAAATTGATTTTGATCCTGCATTTTTTTTTAATAAGGTTCTAGATAAAGCAGAGTATCTAAGAGATATGGAAGCGAATATTTTGCCTGGGTTTCTTAGGTTACAAGAATTGGTAAGTATTGTTTGAGATCTTCCTCTATGGCCTAATCAATTGACTATATCTGTGGTCAGCAAACTGTGGCTCACGAGCCACATGCAGCTCTTTGGTCCCTTGAGTGTGGCTCTTCCACAAAATACTACGGCCTGGGTGAGTCTATTTTGAAGAAGGGGTATTAGAAGAAGTTTAAGTTTAAAAAATTTGGCTCTCAAAAGAAATTTCAATCGTTGTACTGTTGATATTTGGCTCTGTTGACTAATGAGTTTTCTGACCACTGGATTGTCAACTTTTTTCCTTTTGCCAATCTGATCGGTGAGAAATGACATTTATATACACTGAGTGGCCAGATTATTATGATCTCTGAATGCATAATAATCTGGCCATTCAGTGTACATATACAGATACATACATACATACATACATACACACACATATATGTGTTAGAGGCCTGGTGCATGAATTTGTGCATGGGTGGGGTTTAGTCGGCCTATCCAGGGGGAGGGGACATGGGTAGTTGGCCAGCCTGCTTGCTGGTCGAACTCTTGGTCGAGGGGACAATTTGCATATTAGCCTTTTATTATGTGAGATATACACTGAATGGCCAGATTATTGTGCGTTTAGAGATCATAATAATCTGGCCACTCAGTGTATCTAAAAGCCTAAGTGACCAAAGGGCTGGTCGACCAGTTGCTATGATGTGCACTGACCACCAGGGGGCAGGCACTCAGTTGCCCCCAGGTGGTCAGTGCACTCACACAGCTAACCTTCCATGGTCCTTACCCCTTACTCTCTCCCCCCAGCTGGCCACCCTCATGCGATTCCCCCTTCTCCACTCAACCCGGCCAGCCAACCTCTCATGGTTCCTCCCACCAGCTGGCTGGCCTTCCTGATCTGTCCTAATCAGAGGAAGGCTTGCCATCCAACCTCCAGCGGTCCCTACCCTACACCTGGTGGCCATCCAACCTCCCTTGGGCCCTCTCCCCTGGCAAGCCACCCCCCCATCGGCCCAGGCTGAGGAACCTCACCTGTGTACGAATTCGTGCACCGGGCCTCTAGTCTTAATATATTAATTTGCATTTCTCTATTATGAGTGAAATTAACATTTTTTCAAAGCTAATTTGTGACTTGATAACTTCACTTTCAGCTTTTTATTTCTAATTGTGACTAACACTGATTTTAGGTGTTTGCTAGACTAGATGGCAGTGGACTTGACTTTGAACTTCCTGCAAGAATTTTAAAAGTTTCTTTTCATTTCAGTAATTTAAAAAAATAATTCTATGTCTAGTTTGGATCACCTTGAGTTCAGTATCATGGTCACTCAGTGTTGTATTTTAATTTACAATTGTGTTGTCAGTGAATAGTATTAATACTATTCGAAGGGTCATGATCTACAAAAAGAGCAAGCATCTTTTTTCATGTGCATATGTGTGGGGTGAAAGCCAAATATTATTGCAGAAAACAGGGTTTTACAATAGCTTAAGTAAAGAAAATTGGTGAGAAATTCATTGTTCACCAATATCAGTTGTATACTAATGCTAAACTCCGAAGAACTTGCTGTTTCCTATTAGAACCATGTTCATAAAGTGAGCAAAGATTTAGTTTGAGCAAACTATTGTTTCTCATATTCAGTTAATGTCAATTTAAATTTTTTTGCTTTTCTAAATTTTTCACTAACTTATACATTTATGTTGATTTTATATTTTTCTGTTTTTATTGATTTCAGAAAGAGGAAGGGAGAGGGAGATAGGGATAGAAACATCACTGATGAGAGAGAATCTTTGATTGGCAGTCTCCTGCACAATCCCTGCTGGGGATCAAGCTCACCACACTGGCATGTGCCCTGATGGGGAATCAAACCATGACCTCCTGGTTTGTGCTCAACCACTGAGCCACACCGGCCAGCTTAAATTTTTCTAAGTGCTTTGAGCATAAATAGTTTATATTTACTTAGTTTTATATCTGTATTATTTAAGTATTAAGTAGCATTATAACAAAAATTAAGTAAATATTTGGGAAGAAGTGCTTAGAGCAGTTCCACCTTGAAAAGTTAAATACATTACTCACATTTGAGAAACTGCTAGACGTACAGAAAAACTTTCCAAATGTCACTGAAATCATTGTGTGCCTAAGGCTGAATCCTAAAATTCACAGTTAGTAATAGTATTCAGGGCTAATATGGAGAGGACAGGAAGAAATTAAGTATAGTTCTTGGTGGCCTATCCTAGAAGTTTCTTCACACAATCCAGCCTTTGGCAGTTTGATTAATTCTTGGCATTTCACCACTGAGATCAGGGACCCATCCTGTATGAGCAGATGTCTCCTCCTCTCTTCTGTTGTGTTTGTATCCACATCCATTATTTCCCATTGCTTTGGTCTAGGACTTCCTGTCTGGTATCCAGAGTGCATTCCTCTTGCTTTTCCAGTATAGCTTACTCCATCCCCCCCTCCCCCCATGTTCAGTAATGGTGATTATGCTTCCCTTCAAGCAGTTAGGCCTTTCAATTTTGTTTTAGTTTTAATTTATATAAATTGAAGAAAATGAAAAGATGCACAGTAATAGTCATCTATCAGAAATGAGAATCGCTGTTTGACATTTCTGAAAACATGCTTGATTTTTTTTTAAAAATGTATTTCATTTCAGAGAAATATAGCAAAAGCATTTCCCAGTTTTTATATTAAATATTTGAGTTAAATGAATGGATATTGTATATTGAAGTACTTTCAGATAAACAGATAACATTACCAAGTTAAAAACCTTTCAGACTGACAAATACAATTTTTTAATCTCAGTATTTTTAACTGATTTTATAAAATGCTTTTGAATAATCATTTTAAAGTAAAAACAACTCAATGCTTTGAATCAAGATTGTGTTTAGATCATACTTCTTTATCCCTATAGAAATAAATTCAAGGATTCTTAAAATCGGTTTATAAGATAACATTTGAAAATAAAGATATTTTTCTTTCTTTCATAAAGATGCTAAATTTTTGTGGCATTATTAATCTATCGAACTTAGCTGCTTTTGTTAACCAAAATAATTTTTTCTAAACAATGAAAATTGGAATATAAAATTATACATAAGATAGGAATCAACCTTAGCCAGTATGGTTCAGTGGGTAGAGTGTCAGTGGAAGAGTCCTGGGTTCAATTTTGATCAAGGGTAGGTACTTCTGTTGTAGACTTTTTTCCCAGCCCTGGTCAGGGCATGTGCGGGAGGCAATCAATCGATATGTTTCTCTCACATAGATGTTTCTCTCTTTCTGACTCTTTCCCCTTCCTTTCTAAAAATCAATGGGAAAATATCCTCAGGTAAGAATTAACGGGGAAGGAGGGAATATAGGAATCAATAAAAAGTAAATCACTATCAAAGTATAGTAAAATTTGTGAGGTAGTGTTCTAAGAATAGTTACAGAACAAAACAGCTTTCACTTTTATTTTAGTTTTAATTATGGAAACTGAAGAAAATTAAAAGATGCACAGTAATCTCGACTCTACCAGAAAAGAGAATTTCTGTTGAAGCTGCTTATCAACTTGGGAGATGTTAAAAAGAATATGGGAAAAAGTAAAATTTGTGTTGAGAATGCAGAGGTATCTACAGATAAATTCTAACTAGCATGCATAAGACATTAGTGGCCACTTTGTAGAAGGATAACGTACACAGTGGGCTGTTCTCTTAATGTTCTTTTTGTATACTAATTATAATTTATAAATATACTTCAAAAGATACCTGTTTACTTAACAGAGCTGTTTTAGATCTTAGTTGTTTGTGTTTTTAATGTATATGCAAAGTCAATTTTACTTAATTTGTGTGAAAATATCCTTTAAAACAACTTTTAAGTTTTTCTAACAATAATATGTGGTTACATAATATGACTTAATTTGTTTTTCTTCAACTCACATATTTTTTTTTCTGGATTACTGTAGCCATTTTAATGATGAGAGATATTAAGTTTTGCCTTTCTTCGATTGTTTATTAATTGAAAGCTAATGATTTCTTTGAAAATTCCCATAAAAAGGTTTTGTCTTAACTCTTTATGCAAACATTTCTTAATTTCTATAAAATAAGTCCTAGCATTCATGAGTAACTGAAATGCTGATTAACCTAAAAGTTTTATGGAAATTCCCAAGTAATTATGTATGAAAATTTGCAAGAAGATGAACTCCTTGATTAGGTTTTCTAAATATGGTGTGTTAATATGCAAATAATTTGCTACATGTTAGAACTTTGCTCAATTTGAAAGAAAGATTCAAGTGGAATTGCTCTAAGATTTTTAAATGCAAAGTTAATTTTATTACTTTTTTCTTTTACAGACTGATAGAAATGTGACTGTTATCTTTCTCAGTGAAATTATTTGGGAAAAATTCCGTCCAAATACTGGATGCTTTGAACCATTTGTCTTGTACTTCCCTGATTATAGCATAGGTAAATTTTAAAACATTATTTTGACCAGTGATACTCAGTAAAATAGTCTGTGGAAAATTAAGCTAGCATGTTTAAATGGGAATACTCAGATGTCTTAATCTGTTAAAGTTTACATCCAATATCAAAATGTTACTTGTCTTTCTGCATTTATAGTGGGTTTACTTTGGAACTCTGCGGAGTTATTCTTGTGTAATTACTAATATTTTTTGAATAAGCACTTCTCACATATTTGTGCTAATGGTTTGTTTCCACATTTTTTAGCTAGTACATTAAGATGTATATATTGCTCTCACAGGTTTGGCTCAATGGATAGAGTTTGGTTCATGGATTGAAGGGCCTCAGGTTTGATTCAAGGGCATGTACCTTGGTTGCAGGCACAATCCCTGGCCTGGTCAGGGCATGTGCAGGAGGCAACCAATCATTGTATCTCTCTCACATATTGATGTTCCTCTCTCTCTCTGCCTCTTCCCGTCTCTTCCACTTTCTAAATATCAATGGAAAAACATCCTTGGGTGAGAATTAACAACAACAAAACAGATGTATCTATTGCATTTGTAGCATCCATACAAGAATCTGGTAAATAAAGATTTCAATACAATTTTAATGTGCTTTGCCAACCTACTCTGATTCTTCTATGGGTGCTACAAATGCAATAGATACATCTGTTTTGTTGTTAATTCTCACCTGAGCAAAGCACAATAAAATTGTATTGAAATCTTTATTTACCATGAAGCTGGCTTAAGTATAATACTATGTGAGATATATTTTTGATTTTGTAAATCTCATTTTTTTTTATAAGAATGAGTAGAGACTCAGCTTTCTTTTTTTTTTAATTTTTATATTTTATTGATTTTTCACAGAGAGGAAGGGAGAAAGATAGAGAGCTAGAAACACCGATGAGAGAGAAACATCGACCAACTGCCTCTTGCACACCCCCTACTGGGGATGTGCCCGCAACCAAAGTACATGCCCCTGACCAGAATCGAACGTGGGACCTCCCAGTCCACAGACCGATGCTCTACCACTGAGCCAAACTGGTTTCGGCTGTAAATCTCATTTTTATTACTGTAACTCTTAGAGTTCCAATTACTAGCTTTTGTATTTATTTCTTTTTGGTTTATCTTTAATCTTAAACTTCATAGATCCTGATGGTTTTATCTTTGGAAGAAAACAAAAGCTTTTTGTATTCTTGAATAGTTTTACAGATTAATACTGAGATGTTACTATACAGAAACAATATTTCTGATTCAAAGACTGTAACTGTGAAGCATAAGGTGGTTAGCAGGGTCTGAAAAAATAGCATTCCTTGACCTTGGCCTTATCAACACTATCCTTCTGAACTAATCAACTGTAAATATTCATTGTTAAAATCAACACATTTTTGCTTATTTTCACAAGAACAGCAACAAAAAACTATCTCCTGTGTTAACTAATTAACTGAGATTTTTTAAAAAAAAGAAACCCAAAATAGGCTAGTAGCTCTGCAGTTGAGCTTTGACCTGTGAACCAGGAGGTCTCGTTCAGTTGTGGGTTTAATCCCCAGTGTGGGGCATGCAGGAGGCAGCCAATCAATGATTCTCTGTAATCATTGATGTTTCTATTTCTCCCTCATCTTCCTCTCTGAAGTTAATAAAAATATATTTTTTAAAATAACCCCAAAATAGGTTCAAGGAGCCCTTATTTTCAATAGGTTCTCTCTCTCCTCTCTCTCTCTCTCTCTCTTTTTTTTTTTTTTATAAATATATTTTTTATTGATTTTTTTACAGAGAGGAAGAGGGAGGGATAGAGAGTTAGAAACATCAATGAGAAAGATCATTGATCAGCTGCCTCTGGGGAAGTGCCCCCAACCAAGGTACATGCCCCTGACCGGAATCGAACCTGGGACCCTTCAGTCTGCAGGCCGACGCTCTATCCACTGAGCCAAACTGGTTTCGGCTCAATAGGTTCTCTTTCATGAAAATCACAAAATGAGAAATGGATAGGAAGAAAAGAATAAATCAAAAGTATTTAATTAAAAAGTTTTTTTTGTAGCTATGTCATCACTGAAGTTAAATTTTTTTCATGACCCATTTAGCCTTCAGTATTGAAAAATTATTTAGAAATTTAAGATTATAAAAAAATCCTGGTTTTCTACATCATAGTGAAGTTGGATTAAAGTATGGTATAATGAATTATAGAATTTAATTAAAATTTTAAAACATGAAAAGATATAAAGTAGCATAAATGGAGAGAATTTAAAGTCATAATTAAATAACTAAAGTGATTTTGACAATTTTAAAGTGTGAGATAATAGATTTTTAAGAAATATATAAAAACCAGAGCTAAATTTAATCTGATTATTAAATTCAAGTGCCTTTTACCAGTACATTGAATTTTTTTAAGCAAAAATACCATAATCACACAAAAAGGCTTTCAGAGAGGAAGCATTAATTGATAAGTCAAGTTGGAGTTAGAATAAGTAAGCATGGAAACAGGGCAGGAAGATATACTTAATAGGCAGAAAAAGAAAGTAGAATCTATATTATTTTTTGTCTCTGATAATGATTTTGCCAGTAATAAGGATCTTAAAATTTTCTTTAGATGTCACTGTTTAATATTTGTGTTAAGCAACATTTAATTTTTTTTAGAACATTAGATTTATAATTGTTTTTACCTCAGTTTCAACTTTTGTATTACTTAAGTCTTTTGATAGTTTTATTCTTTAATTATTGCTATTTTAAACTTTGTTATAAAATGCTGGAAGATATAAATAGGGTGCTTATATTAATCATTCTACGTTCATTTGTGTCCTGGGAATAGGGAACCTTCAAAAGATCCTGTCCCACGATCATCCTCCAGAGTATTCAGCTGATTTCTATGCTGCTTACATTAATATTCTTCTGGGAGTTTTCTACACTGTTTGCCGGGATTTGAAAGAGCTCAGACATCTGGTGAGTTAGCATTCTGCTTTAAAAAAAGTATGCCTTTTAATATTTTACCATGTAGAAATAATGTGGAATAGGTTGGAAGCTGACAATTTATTATGGAAATTTTGATTTGCCCTTTGAGACTAATACACCATAAAATGGAAGAAATCTGTGGATTACTACAAATTTTGAACCGATTAGAAAACTTTCATTTGTCTTTACTTAGGTCTTTTCACTTGGCCTTGGGAGTGTTTTTACCCCTTCTTTCTTTTTTTTTTAATTGTGGAAAATTTAAAATTCTGTTAAAATAAAAATGAAGAGTCAAAGAAAGGTATAAAACCTTAACAAACACTTAAAAAAATTTTTAAATTGATTTCAGAGAGGAAGAGAGAGGGGGAGACAGATAGGAACATCAGTGATGAGAGAAAATCATTGATTGGCTGCCTCCTTCAAGTCCCTACTGAGGATCGACCCCGAAACCCAGGCATGTGCCCTGATTGGGAATTGAACCGTGACTTCCTGATTCATAGATCGACACTCAACCACTGAGCCACACCAGCCAGGCAAATAAATATTTTTTTTAAATACAAATAATTTCTGAGAGCATCATTGATAATTGGTGAATCATTTTATAATAATAAAGTAGCATAACTGCTTTTTATAGCCAGGACCCAGCATTTCCTGGAGTTTTGATTTTATTTTTTAGCTCTCTCACACCTGTCCAATTCAAGGTAATCTCTGACTGCTTCAAATGGTATCATAACATTCTTAGATTCCAAATTTTTTCATCTATTTTTAAATTATTTTTTGATGAGGAAGAGGTTGTTCTGAAATGGTTGCAAATCTGTTCTTCAGCTATAAGTGGATTTATAAAGACGGTATATAATAATATGTTTTGGTACATAGTGGTTATTTTTGCTTATTTGCCATGTGATTGTAAAATAGAAAAAATGGTCCCTGAGAACTAAAATGAAAAAGATTGTAACATTTTGTGAATAAAGAGCCATGGTGTCTGGCTCGATAGCATATGATCACAAGCATTATACTATGTTACTTCTTAAATAAGATCCAGCCTTGGTTAAGTACTTCCTATGTGCCAGACAATGTTATGAACTTTTTTACCATTAGCTCAATTAATTTTTACAACAACCCTATGAAGGAAGGTACTGTCATGAATCCTCATTTTACAGATGAATAAACTTCTTCCTTTGCCAGCTCTGTGATCTTGACCAAATTACCTAACCTTTTTGAACATGAGTTTTTTCTTGTTAAGTATATACAATATAATACCCACTTCAAAGGAATTTTGTGAAATAAAAAGAAAGGAATACATATAAAATGCCTGATAACCTATTGGGGATCCATTGATTTTAGTTTGCTTTCTTTTGCTGAACAAAAGTCTGTGGGCTTAAAAATAGATTGAGATTGGCAAAAACATAAACCAGAGCCCAAGTATGGAGACTGCTAATACCTGCTTTAGGTTTGTATCAGAGATTGAAGTCATATAAAGTCTGAGGCAGAAGAGCTGTCATCCTATTGACTGTCAGAGTTAATCTAGCTGGGTGAATGGGTGTCCTTCACCAATCTTTTATAGTCTTATTAGAGGCCCAGTGTATGAGATCCATGCATGGGTAGGTTCCTAGTGGCTGCTAGCTGCCAGCCGGGGCCTTCCTTCATTGTGTATCGCCCCCTAGTGGTCAGCACACATCATAGTGAGTGATTGAATCCCTGATCAGTTAAACTCCCGAGGGGACACTTTGCATATTAGGCTTTTATATAGATAGGTAGATACTGATTGCTTTATGGATGAGGATGACTTTTTCACAGATAAGAGCTGTTCTTTGGTTATGGGTACTTAAGGGAGTGGTGGAGTGTTTAATTAGGACAAATAATCTAGTTAGTTTTATATTTCTTTTATTTTTTTCTTAGCTTTCCTTAGCTTTCTTATACTATACCTGAAGAAAAGCACAGAAATCATAAATATGTATCCCAATGAATTATCACAAAGCAAAACCACTTCTGTAAACATAATCCAGGTCAAACAGTAGAAAATTACCGGCATCTCAGGAGCCTACTTGAAGCAATCTTTCCTCCTGAAGTAATAACTATTTTTACTTCTAATTTCAAAGATTAGGTTTGTTTTTTAACTTTCTTTAAATGAAAACATACAGCATATGTTTGTTTGTTTTTTGTTTTTTTGGTTTGGAGGTAAATTTCCAGAACATCTCAGATCTACAATCATAAATTCAGGCAGTAGAATCTCTGTGTGCCTGTAGGCAAATTATATTTTGCTTCTCTTCCTTTAGCTGACAAATGAGCATAATGAAAGTTTAGTTGTCAGGAATGAGGTAACAGATGGCCATAATTAGCTGTTGATAATTACTCTCCCTCTGTTATTATTAGGAATACTAATGTTCCCTGAGCAATTGGTCATTTTTTAATAAAGTTGTGCCTCTCCTCCCCTCCCTTTACATTGATGAGATTAGTTAAGAGTAAATTATATACTTAAGTGGTTATGAATAATGGGCAGCTATATGGGAGAATGTACAATGGTTGTGAAAATTTATAATATAAAAAATCATCTAAAACTATTTCTGCTTGGGCTTTGGAATTATTTTTGTGATTTTGTTAATAGTTTTTTTATACATATTTTTACTCTGTGGGTAGTTTAATATACCAGTGGGCTTGAATTTAGATTTGTGCATAACCCTAATACAATTAACTAGGAATTTGCCTATATTTGAGGATTAACTTAAGAGAAGTGGGCATAATATTGGAGAGCATATTTGAATGCTAATAGTCAAAGTTGTGAAAAGTATTTTGTATTTGACAAATATTTTGTTTTTTAAACTTCCACTTGTTAGTAAGGTCTCACTTTTATAGATATATTTAAATACAGAGACTGTGTTTGGACAATTACATTTACTCAATTTGCTTAAACTACCATTTAGTAGAATTCAATGTTGATTCATGGAAAACTACTAAGTGATTATAATTAATTACTGCTTCTCAGACTTTAGGATACATAGAATTCCTAGTCAGATTGTTAAAACATTGATTCCTGGGTCTCATCCTCAGGATTCTGACCAAGTGTGCCTGAGAGGATGCTAAGAACTTGGATTTGTAACAATTTCAGGCAGTGCTGGCAGTCAAAATAGTTTGAGTTTTACTTCACTAGATGTTTAATTTGTGAGAATGATCAGACGTTGGAAAATAACAGGTTAATCCTTTGGGCTAGGGGTATTTTATTTGTGTTTTATGTTCCTTTGTAACATTATTATGACCTAAAATTACAAATTATGTTTTGTTGTGTTACTTTATATCTAGGGGCTAGTAGGCAGGATTTTGCCACTTAAGGAATATTTTTCATATTGTTTTACTACTGTTATTGATGTTTGCTGTTTTATTGTAGTAATAAGCTTGAATAACATTTTCCTGAGAAATTAGATCACAATAAAATTTGCTGGAATAGTTTAAGAGTTTTACGTGAAAAATAATTCCTAATTGTGGTCGATAACTACTATTTTTCTTTGTTTATAGGCAGTACTTAATTTTCCTAAATATTGTGAACCTGTGGTTAAAGGAGAAGGTAACTATATAATTTTATCTATCATCTTTAAAAAATTTTTTATAAGCTCTGAATTATTGAAATTTTCTTCATTTTGGTAGCAAGTGAACGTGATACTCGCAAACTCTGGAGAAATATCGAACCTCATTTGAAGAAAGCCATGCAGACTGTTTATCTCAGGGAAATATCAAGGTAATTTTTTGTTTAATATGTTTACATCTTTTTTTTTTTTTTTTTTTGGTTAGTTATTGTACAGTTTTCCTTTACCTTCTTCACATTGGAAAAAACTGGAGGTTTGAATTAAATTCTTGTTGTTTGGGCTAGGAAGACAATTTTTAACCAGTATGCTACACACCTTGGAACAATTGCAAAATGTAAAATATCTGGGTAGGTACAGGGCAATCAGTTTTAGCCTTTTAAAAATATATTTATGTGGAATATTTGAATGGGAGCATGAAAATTTGATTATTAAAGAAATATGTGAATCAAATCATAAATCTACATTTGTCTTTTATTAGAATGTCATGGTAATGAAACTGCTCAGGTGATATGGTGGCACATAGTACAGTGGGAAGAACATGGTTTTGATTTCCAACTAAACCATGTCTGAGCAATTGACTTAAAAATGCCAGTCTTGCCCAGCCTACATGGTTCAGTGATTGAGTGCCGACCTATGAACCAAGAGGTCATGGTTTGATTCCCTTTCTCACACCCATCTTTATCCCTTTCACTCTTTTTCTAACCACATAGAATTTTTTATCCTTTGTGTATATATATATATATAAAAATATTCGTTGATTCTACCGCTTAGAGTAGGGGTGTCGAACTCAATCAGAGAAGGGGCCAAAATCTAAAATCTAGCTTAAATCGCGGGCCGAATGGTTTACTGAACAGTCATAAACTGTCATTGTGATGGAAACGCAGTGGAGTGCAGTGATGACAGCGCGGTGCGGGCCACATTGCAAGGCCTGGCGGGACGGATTTGGCCCGCTGGCCTTGTGTTTGACACATGTGGCTTAGAGGCTTGCAGCCTTTGCAAATTAGTTAACCTCTTTGACTCAGTTTTGCCATTTGTAAAAAAAGAAAAGAAATACAGTTTGTGAGTAATAAAGGAGACATGTTAAGAGCTGGGTTCATAGTAAAAATTTAGTAAATATTATAGTCTCTTCTTTTCCCATTAAAGATGGTCAGTTTTTCACTGGTTGTCCTTTGAGAGTTAAATAACATTAAATGGGTAATTACTATATAAGAAGACCTTATGGCTTTAAACTATCTCAAAGGAATGTGAAAATGCCTTCTAAAGTAAGGTAGAAGAAATGCTCTATTTTGAAAGTCAGCTTGTTAGACTAGGTTTGCTCTTCACATAGGTTACTATAGTAGCTTATCAAAATATACCACTTGCTGTATTCCCAGAATTTTCATCTATGCTTATAGATTTGAAAAAATATATATGTTGACTTAATATATTTAATTGTTCTGATCTGGCATTTACTTTCAAATTAGCATTTTAAGAGCTTTGTAAGAGATTTAGAGCTGGAGAGGGTCTTTACACAGATCATAGCATTTAATTACCTTTTTTTTTGGTCACCTGAGGACATGCCTTTTTTACGAGGAGGAGGAGGGAGTGCTAGAGAAAGAGATGGTTAGATTGCCTCCCACACCCTTCCCAACTTGGGATAGAACTGGTACCTTTCTTTGTATGGCACAACGCTCCAACCAACTGAGCCACACTGGCCAGGGCTGGCCTTATTTTTTTATGAGAAAGTTATTGAATTATTCAAGATCATACAGCTAAAGCTTTGGTCTAATAGGACAGTCTTTACTCTGTGTTGTGTTCCTTATGAATTTGATTTGACATAGCTTAATTATTGCATAATCTTAATATTTGGGGCTGTTGAATAGTTTTCATTACAAGTAAGATCATTGAAATACCATGAACTCTTTTGACATCTTCAAGGATTCAGTTCTTAGCTCCAGTACTGACTGATTGGTTATCTTGGGGCAACTTAACTTGTGGGCCTCAGTTTTCTGATATAGGGATCCTTATTGTAACACATTACGGACAGATCATGAGAATTTGCATGTTTTCTGTTCTAAGACTTGTGGACAATCACGAGAATTATTTTTTCAAAAAATGTATTTCATTTTATTTATTTATTTATTTTTAATATATTTTATTGACTTTTTACAGAGAGGAATGGAGAAGGATAGAGTTAGAAACATCGATGAGAGAGAAACATCAATCAGCTGCCTCCTGCACACCCCCACTGGACATGTGCCTGCAACCAAGATACATGCTTTTGACCAGAATCAAACCTGGGACTCTTCAGTCCTCAAGCCGATGCACTAGCCACTCAGCCAAACCGGTTAAGGCATGAGAATTCTTTAAAAAGATATTAGTTTGTAAGAACATGTAATAAATAACTTCAAAATGCAATGGGTATTTAATTTTAAAGCGTGCATTTAACATTCTGTTGTACTCGTTCAATAGAAACTTTTCTGGCCCCTGGCTAAAGCTATCAATAAAACTACTGGTCCTCAATGTGTTAAGAGATTGATACTGAGTTTAGAAATTGTGTATAACAATTTTATTTCATATGGTAACTGGAACATTGGGAGTTTTATTGAATGACAGATGATATTATTTATTTGTTGGTACTTTTTGGTAGCTTTACAATGGTGATCAGAGGAAAAGAGATTTTAAAAAATTAACATTTGGGTATCTATCTATCTATCTATCTATCTATATATAAAAGCCTAATATGCAAATTGTCCCCTTAGGGGTTTGACAGGGAGACTGGGAGTTTGATCACTCTCTATGACGTGTGCTGACCACCAGGGGGAGGTGTGGAATGAAGGGAGGCACTTGCCTGCAGCTGGCATCCAGGGAAGGGAGGCCCCAGCTGGCAACCGGAAGGCTCTAATGGCCCTGATCGCCAGCCAGGCCTAGGCACCCTACGCATGATTAAATTTGGTGCACTGGGCCTCTAGTTGATAAATAAGATACATTGTTCTAATAAACACTTCATGATTCTGTAGAGTATAAACATGTATATTGCATATATATATATTGTCTTGTTTATAGGGAAATTGAATCTACTTTGTCAATAAGTAAGTTTTAGTTTTTCTAGGACTCTGTTTTAAGTATGGTATTTTGATGTAGTATTTTTTCTACCCCTTATTTTATATTTTCATTTAGTTCACAATGGGAAAAGCTACAGCAAGATGACCAAGATCCAGGACAACTGGAAGGTATCAAGGAAGTATTGAGACAGTTACCAGAAACCCTATTTTATTACTAATAATCAAGATGCTAAAGTTAATACCACAGTTAAAGTTATTTCTTAAGCTATAGTGATATTTTAATTCATTTTCTTTTAAGTGAAACTCTGTTTTAAATAGAGGAAGTAGAGTTTGTATACCAGTTTTCTGATCGTTTGATTGTATCATGTGAAAATCAAGAAGTTTTTATTTTATTAAATCTTTTGTTAAAACAATTACATTACATAATTTCATCTCAGTATGTATTTCATGAGTTTTATAGAATAAAATTCAATTTTCTGTTAACTCAGTTGTAGGATACATTTCAGTTGACTATGTTTTAAAAGCTTTGTGCTTTTGTTTTCTTTAAATAAATTATTACTTTGGATTTATCCCAATAGAACAGCTTTTACTTAAAAAATAAGCAGATATCTAAAATATTATTTAAAAATAGATCAGTGTTTATTGGTTGGGGCAACTGGTGTGAAATGAAGTTGAGCTGAGATTCTGTTTTGTCAGTTTTGGTTTCTCAGTGCTCCTGATGCTATACACGTGATTTTTAATTGTGTGTTGTAATGGAAAGAAATAGATGTGAGAATTAGAAAATATGCAATAATTGGTTGACTGTGTGATCTTGTGCTCAATTTAGAGTCCTCATCTAAAATGGGAAGAATATCTAGCTTTAAGTTACAGCAAATTAAGAGATGCGTAGGTGTGTCTGACATATACTATATTTTCATAAACTATCAGCTTTCTTATTTCCTTGTAAAAATCAATGCTGCTTGAGTGACCCATTTGTTTTATTTATCCATTCATTCAATTATTTCATTTGTGAAAGGCACTCAGATTCAAAAAGAAAGAAAAAAAATTAGACATGGCTCCTTCAGTGAACAATATAGCTTGTTAAAGAAATATAATTTTAGTATAATAACTTTAATTCCTATATAATAAAAGCCCAAATATGCAAATTGACCAAATGGCAGAACCACTGGTGGAATGACCAGTTGCTATGATGGGTACTAACTATCAGAGGGCAGGTGCTTAACTCAGGAGCTCCCCCCAGCCCGTAGGCCCCAGGCCAGCCAAGGCAGGTACCAGTGGGGAGGGGGACCTGCAGATAGGTCACCCTGCAGATAGGCCCTGATCACTGTCCAGATCTAGGGCCCCTACCCATGAATGAATTTTGTGCATTGGTCCTCTAGCCCAGTGTTTTTCAACCTTTTTTGGGCAAAGGCACACTTGTTTCATGAAAAAAATCACGAGGCACACCACCATTAGAAAATGTTAAAAAATTTAACTCTGTGCCTATATTGACTATATATAAAGTAATTCTCTTGAATAGGAATCAAATAAACACAAAGAAAGTATTTTATAATTACTTTATTATGAAATATTAAGTAAACAAAATAGTGAAAAATTATAAAATTCTTGTCTTGTCTGCACCTACGGCACACCAGGCAACATCTCGTGCCGCAGAACAGCGGTTGAAAAACGCTGCTCTAGCCTATATAATAAAAACCTAAGAGACCATTATGGTGGAACGACCGGTTGCTATGATGTGCACTGACACACCAGGGTAAGACGCTCATTGCAAGAGCTGTCCCTGGTGTCAGTGCATTCCCACAGGGGGAATGCCACTCAGCCAGAAGCCGGGCTCATGGCTGGTGAGCTAGCTGCCACAGCAGGAGCCTCTCCCGACTCCGTGGCAGCACTACTGAGTGGTGGCAGCAGGCACAGCTGGCTGGGATGAGCACAAGTGGTGCAGCGCCCGGCCCCAGTTCAGGCTCCTCCCTGACTGCCTGCCACCTGGCACACTGCTACATCCCTCAGGGGATCCCAGACTGCAAGAGGGATGTCTGCCTGCCAGCTTAGGCCCTATCCTGCTGCTTTTCTCTGTAGAAGGCAGTCCGTCTGAACAACTCAGTGACTCAGAGAAGTGCAGGGAACTCAGGTTGGGCCTGCCTCTGCACTTGACTCATCCACTTGATGGTGTTCACAGGACAGACCGTGGTGGCCCAGCCCATGCACATGCAGCAGTTGCTGAAGCTCAAGCAGCAGGCTCTGCAGCAGCAGAAGGCCATTCAGCCACAACTCGGCTGGCGGACATCCCCTGAGGGGTCCCAGACAAAGAGGGCACAGGGTGGGCTGAGGGGAACCTTCTACCCCCAGTGCACGAATTTTATGCACTTGGCCCATAGTGTAATTATAAGTAATAATTACAGGTATAAAGTTATGTGGACCATAAGTGAAAAATACACACACACGAACAAACTAGGAATTCAGAGTAGAGAGATTTTTCTATTTTGGTGTGATAGAGGAGCATCAAGGGAAGGTTTAATGGAAAGTGTGGCTTTGAAGGCCAGGTTGGGTAGCATTAGACCAGAATAGAAGAAACCAAACAAAAATAATAGAATGAGGAAAGCATATTGATGATAATGTTTACTACCACCACCATTATTATCATGGCACTTTAAGCTCAAGGCGTAGGTTATTTTGACTAAATAATGTGATATGAAAGTAAAAAGATAAGTGAGAAAATATAAGAGGTACTTAAAATCTAATGTTAGCCTATTAAACACCTTCATAAAAGTTATTTTGTTGTGTAGGTCTCTCAGCATATACTCATGTGGAACTTCCTTATTACTCTAAGTTTATTTTAATTGCTGCATACCTTGCTTCATATAATCCATCAAGAACCGACAAGAGGTTTTTCCTTAAGGTAACAATTACTTCTTTTTACTTTATTTTTGAAGATCCCATGAATAGTTTGAAATTTCTCAATCATTAAATTTCTAAGGATGAGAGTTTAGAATAAGAGATTGCTAAATAAGTATTTAGGATTCATCCTCTAAGGCTTTAAATTAAGATCAAAACCTGAATGGGAAGAATAGTTTCAAGGAAGAGCTCAGGTATATCTTAGGTGATAATGCTAGACTTTAAAAGTGCATAAGGTTTTGTTTAAAGTATGAGAGATGGGAATAATTTTAAGGATACTAACTTTTTTATTCTGAAGCTCCTGCTGTAGTGTCATGCATTCATATATCATTATCTAGAATAGTCAGGAACCTCTTCTGCATATACGTTAGGTGAATAAATCTGATTTTAGAATTATTTTCTTTTTGAAAAAATATGCAATTTTATTTATTATTAAAAGTACTTGTAATAAACATGTATTTATTTATTTTTTACTACCTCTCCCACCTTTTGTTTCATGAGGACAAGAACCACATTAAGTTCTTTTAGGAAGTATCACTATTTTATTTTAAAAGCTTTTTCTTGACATACCAAAGTAACCTATACATGCGAAATCTAAGTCAAATCAAGGCTAGTAGAATAATTAGGTGGGCAAGTAGAATAAAAAAAAAAAGCCTAAGATACCTAAATTATTGTTATCTGTGCCATGTTTTAAACAAATTATGTTTTCTGTTTTTATGAAATACTATCTTTATTTTAATCTTAATAATCATTTTCTTTAATTGTAGCATCATGGGAAAATCAAGAAAACCAATTTTCTAAAGAAACATGAAAAGGTATTTTCATTTTAATTTCTCTAATGGGAAAAACTCATGAATTTAGGACACTATGGGGAGTGGATAAATTCATGCCTTTATTAGTCATGTGGATATAAGAAGTTACTTGTATTGCTTTGGTATCATTATAATATTGTACTAATATTCTCTTATGCTGAATACAGTGATTGAAGGACACATTCAAGGGAGTTATTATTAGGGATAAAAAAAGTCTGTGTTCTAAATTTATATTTTCTCTAGCTGCTTTAAATTCTTTTCTCCTTTTCCTTTTGTGTTTTTAAAGTTTCACTGTGGTTTGTCTGGGATTCTGGAGGAATATCCTCACTCACCAGTTCCCTAAGGGAAGGGAGCCCACCCATTTTCCTCTGTATCTCAGCACTTGGTGATATTTGATAGATGCTTATTTTAAAAATGAACAAATTTAATGAATGAAGAAAATGAAAGAATGAACAAAAAGCTAAGAATTTTACCTTTTAGACTAAATCACCAAGAAATATGAGGAGGGAGATTTATATGAGTCCTGCTGATGAGAGGACTGTGAAAGAGCTGGCACTTTAGACCATCTTTGTGGAATGAGTGGGTTTGTGCAAATCTAGGAAAAGAATGGTGTTGAGAGGGCATCTGCCATCATGAAGATGTCTCTAGTTCTAGATGAACTCTAGTTCTTCCGATGTTATTCTTAGAGATTTGACTTTTATAGTAATAGCCTCTTTTGTCTTTCATGTTGTTTGGTTATATACTATCTTGACAAATGACTTGGTTGTCACTTATCATCTGGTTACAACAGCAAAATAGGGGTGATATTTAGGACGAGGCTGGATGACTCGTGAATCCTTTAATATTTGTTGATGCTAAGACAGAAAATCTTGAAGAAAATGTAAGGATAAATCATGATTATATTAGATAAAGTTTTTGCATAGAGACTGCAAGCTGGATTTGTTAGCATCTTTGGGGAACTATAGGATATAAATATTGTGATACTGGGAATTTGTAGTACAAAGAGTGAGTCCTCTGCTTTAAGAAGAAAATATATTTTCTTTTTTCTTATAGACAAGCAATCATCTCCTCGGACCAAAACCATTTCCACTAGATAGATTATTAGCAATATTATATAGTATTGTGGACAGCAGAGTTGCTCCAACAGCAAATATATTTTCCCAGGTAAGCTTTGAAGCCTGTTATCTATCTTTATCTTCATGGAATTTTTCGGTAGAATAGTTGGTAGAATTCCAAGCATTTAGAGATTTAATCAGCATGAATAAGTAATATGGTCTAGGTAAGTAATTGAAAATTCCAGATCTTTAATGATATCACTGAATTTGCATATAGGTATAACCACATGATAAAACAGTTTAATTTTCTTGTTTTTTTAAGTTAAGGAATTTTTAAATTAAACGCTTATAATCTTGATGATTAAACAAAAGGCTTCATGATTATTGATGAAGTATAATATAAAAGTGTAATTTAATTAAAACAAATTTAAAAATTTTATTTGCAAGTAATATTCCTATTCCTCAAATATGCCCTTTTAGGTTGACATGCATTTTTTACAAAAATGCTCTCATCTTCAGTATTATTAAGTTCTCAAATTTTTCACTAGATGGCAGCAGTAGCATAAAAATAGGAACCATGAAATATTTAATAAAGTTAAGATTTTTTTAATTGCAGTTTAAAAAACTTATTAAAAATATAGTCATAGTACACATTTCTTTTTTCTTTTTTTTTTAAATTTCTTTACTGATTAAGGTATCAATATTTGTCCTCAAAGTACATTTCTTATATGGTCCAGAAAAACAATACTGATCTCACGGATATGAATGACTAGAGGAGAAAAAAAATGATGAGACTAGTATTTATTGAAAAACAAAGTCACCTGAGATATTGCAGTGTTGTTTATGTATAAGTTTTTAGGTTGAGAAATATGTAAATAATAGCATTTACATTCTTATTCACTGTAAATAAATTTGGTTCCTGAATGGATGTTAGACTTTGTAATCTAAAATCTGGTGGAAACTTTTAATTCTTCACTCAAAGGAGCCTTTGAGAACCAAATATATATGTTCTCATTTAACTCAACATTTAAGTTAGATAATTTTTATGTCAGCATTTATACAATAGAAAATTTTATATATCTTTACTGTGTTCTTGAGGAAAGGTAATGTAGTCAGTTATTAGGCTATGCATATAACTAGCTAAATAGGTAGGTAGATTGGCAGCCCTAATGCCAATAGTTTAAAAAACCCAATTCATTTTTAATCTGTATTGCAGAGAATTTTTTTTCAATATATGTTTTTAAAATGCTTTGTCTGAAAATAAAGTAATTTTTTAACCAAACTTTACATTTTATTAATAGCTTTCTTTATACAATACATACTTTTTAATGTTTATTTTTGCTGCTGCAATAACTATGAAATAGGCATTATGATTTTTATCTTAAGGAATTGAGGCTTGGAGAGTTTAAATGTTGTTGCCAATCAATGTGACACATGTAATTCTTTGAGAACTAAAGCCTGGGGAAGTAAGGTTCTCCTAAATAGAGCAGGAAGGCATTTGTATCACATGTGATTGTACCTCTCAGGTACCCACAATTATCTTCGTGGAGGATACAAAGAAGGATGGTCAATGTTTGTCCCTTTTAAAGAGCTTATAATTTATTGGAGGTGGGGGAGGGAAGGTGGTACAGATGTACATAAAAATAATGTAAATGAATGCTGTTAGTGCTGCTAAGAAATTTATAGCAGAGAGAGATTCTTCTGGATTGGGCATGAATATTGGAAGATGACTTCATAGAAAAGGTGAAAAATGGAGCTGGGTTATAGAGAATGAGTAGGGTTTTTCCATTTTTATTGTACAGAAATGAGAAAATGGGTAAATAAAACGGATAAAATTAGCCGACACCTTATTTCCAGTGGATAGAGTTTAGTAGACTAGAAGTTTTTGATGGGCACGAAGAGGACCAGGAAAACCCACGGCATCTTTGTGACCCACACACTGGTTTAGTTGAAAGTGGATTATGTTGTGGTAGTGGTAGCAGTCATTGTTACAATCTAGTAAGTAGTACTACTGCCACCATCATCCATTTTACCTTGCTTTTTGGTACCTTATATTGGTGGGCATTTTACATTTTATAGTCTTGTGACATACTAAATTAATCTTTAACAAAAAGGAACTGAAGCTCAGAATGCCTAAGAAATCTGCCCAAGGCCACATAGCAAATCACTGGTAGCATCCAGACTTGAAGATTTTTTGAGCAACAGACTTTGATTAGAGATGAACAGTGTCACCTGTCTTTGTTTTCAACACTGCTTATAATATAATTAAGAAACAGTGTACCCAAATACATCTTTATTTTTTAACCAACTTAAATTTTTCTACCTTAACAACTATGAAATTCTTTTCATCCATAAACTTAAAACAATTTTTATTCATCTTCTCATTAGCAGTAATCAAAATGATAAATTTTGTATATTTAAAACATGGCTTAAATGAATTTGTGTTCATTTGATATCATATCACTTCGGACTTGATCTTGCTTTATTTCCATTTGTGATACAAAGGGTGGGGGACTACAAATGGATGATGCATCTGACCCTAAAGTATCTGAGATAATCAGGTTACATATGTACTGTATGGAAGAACAAAATGTGACAGAAATCACATCCATAGGATGGGTAATTCTCTAATATGCCTTTTCTTTTTATTTCCATTGACTCCCAGTGACCTTTTCTGTTGTTCTCTGCTTTTATGCATCCATGAAAACCACTCTTGTCGATAGGAATAACAATTTGTATTTAACCTATTGCACATATAATTTTTTTAAGTGAAAAATAAAAGTGTGAAGTACTTACTTGATATGAACACTAGATGGCAATATTGTTACATTACAGCTTTAAGATAAACTAAGAACCTGTTAATACTGTTTTTGATATTTAGAAAAAGCTGTTTGTTAATTTAACACAATAGTTATTTGAATATAATAAAAATTATCTGGAGATATTTAATGGTATACATGTACGTGCTATACATGCTTTCTCAAATAAATAAATTGATAAGGTATTATGTTACATGAGTGTTTTCCATGTGGAGAAAAATTTTTCTTAATGGCTGTAATATGTTTATATGCAATGATTATTTTTTCTATTTATTTACTTTTTATCACCTGTTTTAAGGCTTTATTTTTTAGTGATATGCTATTATATAGCTTGGTTTACCAGTTACATAATTATTTATAACTAGAAACTTAGTGTATGAAAATTCATGCACTTGGGGTTCAGGGGGTCCTTCAGCTCTCTCACAGTCTGAGACCCCTTGGGGAATGCCCACCTGCCAGCTTAGACCCACTCCCTGGGGGATCAGGCCTAAGCTGGCAGTGAGATATCCCTCTGGCAGCCTGGGACCCCCTCGGGGGATGTGTGAATGCTGTCAGTTGGATATCCTTAGTGCTGCGGAGGAGGTGGGAGAGGCTCCCACCATCTCCACTGCTGCACTTGCAGCCATCAGCCTGACTCATGGCTGAGTGGAGTTCCCCCTGTGGGAGTGCACTGACCACCAGGGGACAGCTCCTGCATTGAGTGTCTGCCCCTTGCTGGTCAATGTGCATCATAGTAACTGGTCATTCCACCATTAGGGTCAATTTGCATATTACCTTTTTATTATATAGGATTTTTCACATAACAGTTTTATCAGATGTTTTATATATGTTCATTGAAGCAAATTCTCTTGAAGCAAAAGTTTATTTTCATTGCATTTCACTTAAATCTATTCTGTAATAAAGTTATAAAAATAGTAGTTTAAGGAATCTTTAAAGTTAATAAAATTGGAATTGAGAATAATAAATTAACAACATTATTAGTAATAGTATGAGGTTGGTATTCTTAATTTCAATGTTCTTTATTACATTTTTGAATAAGATTCTACTCATTAACTTTAGTCTCAATGAGTAAAAGAATATTAGTTCATTTAACATTTTACATTAGAATAATGGTCATATTTATTGAATTGAAATATGGTTTTTAAATTTTCTTAGACTTGTAAGAAAATTTAGCCTTATGCAATTTTAGTTTGTGGCTTATAGTTTGTGGCTTCCACTGCCCTTCATTTGTAGTGGTGTGGTTGCCAGGTTCTACCTTGTACTAGAGTTGTTAGTAGTGCATGTGTATATTTACTGGGAGGACATATATGCTGAAGGAACTGTTTTGAAGTGAATAAATAAAAGTAGGATTTTTCTCATTAGTAGTTCTGTGATTTGATAATATAGGTAGTTAAATGTCTTCTTCTGAGTAAAATAACCTTTTTCTTGAATGTTTCCTTCTGACATGTCTTGAACTTAGTGTTGTGAATGGAGCATGATTGTTTGATACCTATGTCATAGCTAAATTATGCTAATTATCCATTATATTTAATTATAGCTAGTTAGCTGTATTTATTAGTATCTTTATTAAGAACTTAAGTTATGGACAAATAAGTAGTATATTGTGTGTGGCCTGTTATAAACTAAGTGACTTTTACATAGTTACATGACTATACAGTAAGCCCTAGATTTTGCAGACCTTGGTTTACTGGACTTCAGATTTATGGATAAAATTTTCAGTTTGTATGTCATATGTGAAAATTGATACCCTATTAATTTGGTTTTAACTAAGATTTGCTTATAATTAAATTAACAGGTTATTTTTTTATCTTTAACCAATTTCAGTGAATAGGCCATATGTTGGAAAAACACTAGTAATTTCACCAATATAAATAAATATTACATATCTACAACTCTAGTCTACATATTTAAATCCAGGAGTCACCACTCATGAACAATGTTCAGCAAATGATTAGCAAATGTTCATGCCATATCACCTGAGGTAATTGGTTCTGTTGTCAAGTGGTGTGACTTTCTACATCAGTTTTAATGTGTGCTGTCGATGTACCCAGGTGTGCTAAGCCACACCCCAGCTGTGTGCATTTGTTTACTCAAGGTGACTGTGAATGCATGCATTTACTAGATCTATTCAGTATAAATTAAAAATAACAATAATACATATAGAAAATGTTTCTCTAAAACAAAACTTTTCATCCATAGATAATTTTAATTACACAAATGTATCTAAGTAAAAACAATAAACCAACTGATTGGTCAATGTTTTACTGTACACATTAGGAATATCTACTTT